ACCGGAAATAAGCAGGGCGCCTCTGGAATGCTGAGAAGTGGGGTACTGGCAGGAAGTGGGAGAAGCAGACTTTAGAGAAAAGGCGGCAAGTGAACTGAGATCCCTCGCCCCCAAATAAGAACCGAGGAAAACTGAATTTTCTGATTATTAGAAAAGATTTGATCTCTTTCACCTCCTCAGGAGAACTAACGTACCGTTCTCCAGGAAGGGCCATCCCCAACTGCACGCCATGGAATAGCATGTAGCACGGAAAAAGAACAAATTACTGTCAGATGCAGCCACGTGGACGAATCTCAAAATACTGTGCAGGGCCAAAGAAGTGGGGACACGAAAGAGTTCATACCGTATAATTCCATTTCTATGAAGTTCTAGGACAGTGGAGAATGACTCTGTGGGCATGAGTTGGAATCTAGGGTGCTTCTGGGCAGCAGTGCGTGCAGCCAGCTTGTCCTGGCTCATAGGTAACTACCGTCAACATTCGTTCCGACTCCGCGGTGGCTGGAAATCAGCCACGATGGAAGCATTTAGAGCACAAAAAGGGGCAAATGATGTAAATTACAAATATCTATCTACCTACCTATCTATCTATCTATCTATCATGTATCTATCATCTCCCTTATTGCTAAAGCCCACTATTCAACACTTAGCAGCACCCCACTGCCAGGTAGGGGTAGGGGAGTGGGCATTAAGAAGCCTCTGGAGCGATGTACATGTTCTCCACCTCGTTTCCAGGAACGGTCCCATGGCTGCACGCACTTGTGAAAAGCTCAAGGAATTGAACATTCGAGAACTATGCATTTATTACACGTAAGTTATAGCTCAATAAAAAAGACTGCATGTATATATAGCCTAAAATAAAATAATATGACGAAGAGGTCATTTTGCGAAACAGAAGGCAAGCACAAACGCCCAGAGCCGGGAAGGGTCATGGCATTATCTGAGGCCAGCTGAAAAGTCTCTTGACTTTCTGGGCGAGGCTGAGCACTGAGAGGCAACTCTAAAAAGGCCACATCTAGAAGTGGAGGGACAGGTATGCCTGGGAGCAGTTCAAACTAGGGAAGAGCAGGAGGGGGAAAATAAAAAAATAAAATGTTTTTAAAAATTATGCGTATATATAGTATGAAAAAAAAATAAACTGCCGTTAAAAAAAATAGTAAAATAAATAAACCAGGGATGAGCTATGGTTACATCTTTGCATTTTAAGCATTGTCACATTTTGCAATTGTGTATACATAAACACACACACACACATACTGTGTATCTATTTTTTAAACATTGTACCTCTGGTACTCAGCACAATATCTAGCATTGCAAATTAACTGTTGAAAGAATGACTGAGGGGCAGCTGGACAGGAAGTGGGCAGGACTGAGCCAGGGAGACCAGGGGACCTGGGCCAGACTCTGAAAAAGAGAATCGACTGAGCCTTTCTGTTTCTTCCCACATGGTTCCCAAAGGTACACCCCACCATGAAATGTACACGGGTGCTCAGAGATGTGACAAAAAGAAAAGCAATGCGATTAATTTTCCATGAAGTCAACTTCTTCCCACTTAAACGACTGTCCTTTATTTTGTGCCTCATAAACTTCCTTTTAAAAAAATGACTTTTCTCATAAAATGGTGCAGTTGCTATGGAAAACAGTATGGTGCTTCCTCAAAAAATTAAACACATAATTACCATACGATCCAGCCATTCCATTTCTGAGTAGATACCCAACAGGATTGAAAGCAGGGACTTGAAGAGATATTTGTACGCCCATGTTCACGGCAGCGTTATTCATAACAGCCAAAATGTGGAATCGAAAGTCTACCGATGGACGAATGGATCACCAGAACGTGGTCCATCCAAACAATGGAACATTATTCGGCCTTAAAAAGGAAGGCGATTCTGACACACGACAACCGTGGATGGACCCCGAGGGCACTGTGCTCAGTGAAATAAGCTAGACACTAAAGGACAAATTCTGTGTGATCCCACTCACAGGAGGTCTCCAGGGGAGTCAGATCCGTAGAGACAGGAAGCAGATGGTGGGAGCCAGGGGCTGGGGGAGGGGAAGGGAGTGAGTGTTTGATGGGGACAGAGGGTCAGTTTGAGAAGAGGAGAAAGCTCTGGAGATGGGCGGTGGGGACGGTGGCACAGCAATGTGCGTGTGCTCAATGCCGTTGAGCTGTGCGCTTAAAAATAGTAAACATGGTAAATCTTATGTTATATATATTTACCACAATAAAACGTTTTAAAAACAGCTTTCAGGAACGAATGGGAGTAATTGTGAGCCGGTGGGGGCTGGGTGCGCGTCCATAGCTGGCAAAAATATTTCAGTTGACCCTGGACTCTCTCCCACAACTTTGGGGGATCTCACCGGCTCACCTGGTCCCCGTCTGGCACCCACAAGGCTCTGAGCGTCAGCCCTACCGCTGCTGCCCTTA